GGATTTTTCTTTTTTACAATAATTTGATTCTCCTATTGAGTCAAAGAAAAGGAATCACTGTATAATTACCAAAAACCCTCATAACCTCTTCGAAAACCCTTTGCCGTTTGCACAATGCGTGGAGAATTGTAGCTTTTCGATATATGTTTATTATATGTGTTGAACATGGAAAACCCAATTTAACTTCTCCAAATTCTAATTTCGAGTTTTTTGTAGCGAAATTCTTTGCATCATTGAAAGAGCTTGAGCTTCCTAATTGTCTTAGTATGATCTGCTGCCTCTGAAAATCCCTGAGTAGTTTAAAAGATAAAAAAATAATTGAATATTTGAGAGACAAAGCAGTTGGAACTATCTTATCTTTGAGGAAAGACAAAGAGATTATACTGCTTATATTATGACCTAACAATTTGGTTCCAGGAATAAACAATCAGCCCGCTTCGTGATTTTATTTATGAGTAATTTTGTACGTTATCAATTTTCTCCCTGAATAAGGAAAGTTAGGAAAACTGGTATATTGATTCTCTAATTTTTCCAATTTTTTCATGGGAAAAAATTAGGGAAAGTGGGAATGTTAAGATCAGGAAAATCCTCTGCATGGCATTACATAGATTGTGAACCCGGGGGGCTAAATTTCCTTTGTGTTTCGCGAACGTCGTGCTTATGTGCTAGAATATCTTCACTGCGTGAAAATGTGTGCTTGCATTTGATGATTTTGCCCTTTGTCGAGTATAAAAATGTCATCCCTTGCAGTTGCGTCAAAGCTATTCATGGGATAATCAGTGCTGGTATTTAGTAGTAAGATTTATGCTTTTGTGATTGGTACATCACTTCATTATGTAGACATAGAATTTCGATTTTTATCAAGAGGGGAATATATATAGGACATACCAGATACTTTGTTTTGCTCTATCTGAAGCTCAGATAGGAAGGGGGGGGGGCTAGTCCGTGAGAAACAAGTATTGGATTAAAGGAATATTTGATGATTGCGATAGTACGCAATGCAATCTTCTAGAAAGTTTTTTTCCAAATGAGAGTTCGTGTATTTTCTTCCTAGTTTCTTAGCCAAACCCTTCTAATCTAAACCTTCTGATCTAATCTATTTTATTCCAAATAAATAATCTCTCATGATGCTGTTCGCTTTAAACTTATATATTCTAATTATTTTTTATATGCGCAAAATCATTTCAGCCTCCCTGTCTCGCTTTCCATAACCTCTTTTCCATGCTTCCGGACCTGACTTATGCCTAAGTAAAGGATCATTGTTTTACAGTTCTTACAGCAATGTGCCTAGGTTATTGAGTCTTAGCCATAGCAAATCATGCGATTACTGTACTCATTTCTGAATGCTTTGAAAAAAAAACACAAAAAACGCACTTCCAGCACCCTGAAGAATCACATTAGTGTGTGCAGAACTTCTAGCAACTTGTATCACGTATTA